CACCTTGCTTATTTAATATATATGCAGAGTACATCATGTGAAATGCTGGCCTGGATGAATCACAAGTGGGAATTAAGATTGCTGGGGAAAAGATCAACAACCTCAGATATGCAGACGATACCACTCTAATGGCAGAAAGTGAAGAGGACCTTAAGAGCCTCTTGCTGAGGGTAAAAGAGGAGAGTGCAAAAGTGGGCTTGAAGCTCAACATCAAAAAAACTAAGATCATGGCATCCGGCCCCATCACTCCTTGGCAAATAGAAGGGGAAGTCGTGGAAGTAGTGACAGACTTCACGTTCCTGGGATCCAAGATCACCGCAGACTGTGACAGTAGCCATGAAATTAAAAGACGCCTGCTCCTTGGGAGGAAAGCGATGGCGAACCTAAACAGCATGATAAAAAGTAGAGACATCACCCTGTCAACAAAAGTCCGCATGGTCAAAGCAATGGTATTCCCAGTAGTAATGTATGGCTGCGAGAGTTGGACTTTAAGGAAGGCCGAGCGCCGAAGAATAGATTCTTTTGAACTATGGTGCTGGAGAAGACTCTTGAGAGTCCCTTGGACTGCAAGAAGATCAAATCAGTCAATCCTAAAAGAAATCAACCCTGACTGTTCCCTGGAAGGCCAGATAATGAAACTGAAGCTCAAATACTTTGGCCACCAAATGAGAAGGGAGCACTCACTGGAGAAGACTCTGATGCTGGGAAAGATTGAAGGTCAAAGAAGACGGGGACGGCAAAGGATGAGATGGTTAGACAGTGTCAAAGATGCAACAAACATGAAATTGAGCCAACTTCAGAGGACGGCGGAAGACAGGAAGGCCTGGCGGGAGCTGGTCCATGGGCTCACGAAGAGTCGGACTCGACTGTGCGACTGAACAACAACAACAAATCCAAAGGCTGATGTTGCTTGTTTCCTTTATGTCTCCCAGGAAACATTGACCACATTGAAAAGAGAACCTTTTTTCTCATAAACATGCTGTGAACTTCTGCTAGAAAGCTGCGGTTAGTCACTGTATCCTAGATGTATTCCCGTGTGCTTACAGGCATGTTTGTCGAATGGCAAATGTTACAGTGCTTCCTAGAATGCAGACACACAGTGGATGAAGTGGAAACTGGTCTGATGTACGAAGTAGGGATCAGCCTTGCAAGCTATGTACTAAAGGGTCTTGAGTAAAGCATCCCTCAGGGAAACCTTGAAGAGCATCTGGAAAATCAAGAATCCTCACTTGTTTTTCAGAGCTAAGACAAGGAGAGGAAGAGCAAATACCTGGATGTTGAGAATGGCATATGGTGGGTAGTGAGTGCCACAGCACAGAGAGCCTCTGAGGTATTAAGCTGGATTTGTTAGCTGCCATTACTTTTCGGCCCCTTGGGGGAGGGAACCGTTTATTTGAGATTTTGCTATCATTTTGAGGGAAAAGAATTAGACTATTTGAATATTTGTGCCCTGGTAGTAAGAGGTCTTGAGTTTCAGGCCCACAAAGAGGAATTAAGATGGGTAGAGAAGTTGCATCTCTGACCAACATCTTCCAGTTCTCCTTGAATCTCTGGGTAACTGTTGCCCCCCCCCCCCCAAATAAAAAACCCTTTGGACACCTGACCATGTGGCTTTGTATTCCACCCCCCCCCCC